GCGCTTCACGCCTACAAGTTCGACTGCAGCCACATGGTTTTACATCTGGCCCCTCCCTTTTATAAGGCATCATTGATTATTGATCGGCCAACTAATAAAGTTAATTCCTAATCAAAAAGGCGGCAAATCAAGTGTTTTTTTCATAAAAATAATGATGCATAAAAGATGTTGAGAAAATATGAGGAGATAGGAAGCTCCACTGAGCAGCAAATTTGCGGCTTTATCCCTCGGAGGTGAACGCGGTGACCGTTTAAATTTTGTTGCCAAAAGTGACACATCACTCTAGCGGGCAAGGTATTTGTAAAATTTATGAGTTAGCATTCACTTGTTGTCTGACGATTAGTTTTAGCCCGACAATCGTACCCACTTTCCATCTTTAGAGTCAATACTTTTTGTTTGACAGCAGACTGATCGTGGTTACTAACTGCCTATCAGTAGTATGCTAGAAGGGTGAAGTCAAATGCTACACATAGGCAAAACACGTCAATATCACGCGTGACGCGCTGATTCCGTCGATGAATTGTTATTTCCTAAAAAACGAAACTGACTTACGATTCCATTCGGTTCTTTGTGGTATGCGAATCTTCTATCTTCTTCCTCATTTCTCGCGTTCGATAAGCGCTGAATTAGGTATGAGTGTAGCGGTACACTTTACGGGTACATAATTCTTAAATAGTTTTTATTAGCTTAAAGCCGACCTGAGCAGGAAACTCACTTGGTTAATTACATTCGGCCATCATTTAGCCTGAATGAAGAGATTTTCAGCTTTAGATTTGCCTTCTTAATTACTACTCGACTTTGAGCTGAACCCCTTTCTCCTACACGATACAAGCGTAGTGCTGTTTTTTATTTGGTTAGCTCAGAAAAGATGAGAATACGATTTGCTGTTTACATGCATCCTGTCTGGAAGCGAGTATACTAATCGTCTTTCTGGTCATAATGAGAAGACATATTTCTAAGCTAAAATGTAGGTTCTCCCCATGTTCGCAAGTGTGAACTTAGGGATCTATATACTTCCTGAACGTGAAAGTATACTTAACTTCGGACGCTCTGCTTAGGCAAACGGACACCACCAAACACTGTAACAGTGCCCCAAACGTCATCCCATTTGCTAAGCGAGTACATTAATGCCAAAAATAGCCAAATGACGTCCCGAATTCAAGGTTATTTACTCTAAAAGTCGTAAAAATTTGTTTAGATTTACATAAATTACTATCACCATGGGCGTGGTTTTTCTATCAGGTAGCCAAATTAACGAGATTTTTGAATCAACCTGATGTGGTAAGAAATGCATCAAAACCACCAACAGCTTACCAAATCAGAGAACAGTCAAGCCATCCGCAGTTGAAGCTCAGTTTTCAGAGGACAAATAAACAAAATGCTTAGCCAAATAGATCTACTATAGCTATACATATTTATAACTATTGACATTGCCCTTCAATTCACCTTGTGCTGCATTAAAGACTGTTTCAATTTTACTAGTCGGCATGATTTTTCTAAACAACTTCCTGTTACTGAATAGGTTAACAGGTTCTAACGAATGGTTTGATCTTACCTAGCAAATTATAGACAGGTTCATTTTCCACTTTGAACATTTTTAAATATTGTAAG